CCTTAAGCCCCCCCACCCCCCACCGCAAGTCAAACCCTATTGGATGGTCATCCCTCCCTATGTGGCAGTGTTTGGGGCTGACAATTGGCTACTCAGGCCTTAGTACTACATCCTCGGAGAAGGTCACATGCTCCTTCCATACCAGGTATATGTGATGGCAGGGAGGCGTGTATATGCTGGTTAGGGGGAGGGGCTAGAAGAATCCCCCATTGCTTTGTACTGAATGGGCAGTGACAGGTTCTCTCTAGTGGACGCGGCTGCAGCTCTTGGCCAGGTATATACTGTATACAGGAACTACAAATGGATGTCAAAAAGGGGGTGGGGGGGGGGGGTGTACGGCCATCTTCCATCAGGCGGGATTCGTAGGTTTGCTCTCTTCAGATGTTTTATTTTATTAAATAATTATTTTGAGTGAAACTTTTGTATTTGTTTTTTCATTGTAATCAAAGTGTAGAGAAAGCCGAGATGTTGTAGTTCTGGATGGAGTGGTGCAGGGTTGGAGCCTCTGTCGAGTTAATATTTTCTGTGTCCCCGCAGGGGAGATTCACCATCTGGTGTCACCGAGACACGGGAAATCCAAAATGCTGCAGTTGTCACCAGAACCATTTTCTCTTTAAATACTTTCCTGAGCCGCATGTTCTCCATATTCACCACAGAACAGCCTTGTAGCCGGAACTATCATATCCAGTCATGACCAGTCACCAAGTAACAGGGAGAGAGAGCAGCAGTGACCGGTCTTTATTACAGGAGGGGGCGGAGACAAGACCAATCACCCTGCACAAGGAGAGAGATCAGCAGTGACCGGTCTTTATTACAAGAGGGGCGGAGACAAGACCAGTCACCCTGCACAAGGAGAGACAGGACCAGTCACCCTGCACAAGGAGAGAGATCAGCAGTGACCGGTCTTTATTACAGGAGGGGGCGGAGACAAGACCAGTCACCCTGCACAAGGAGAGAGAGCAGCAGTGAGCGGTCTTTATTACAGGAGGGGGCGGAGACAAGACCAGTCACCCTGCACAAGGAGAGAGAGAGCAGCAGTGAGCGGTCTTTATTACAGGAGGGGGCGGAGACAGGACCAGTCACCCTGCACAAGGAGAGAGAGCAGCAGTGACCGGTCTTTATTACAGGAGGGGGCGGGGGCAAGACCAGTCACCCTGCACAAGGAGAGACAGCAGCAGTGAGCGGTCTGTAATATGAAGAATAAAGCTGAAATGGTCAGCTGGTGACAGAAGCAGAAAAAGGGAAAATAAAGGTGACAGTACTGCTGCTGCTCACCAATGATGGGGGTCATTATTCCGGTCACTGACACCAATGTTGGGGGTTATTGTTGCATCCACTGACCCCGCTGTAGTGTGTGTTGAGGTTCATTGCAAAAAACTGCAGCAGGAGCACAATTTTGGGGTGTTAATGTGGCAGTGGCGTCACAAGGGGGGTGCGGCCCGCACCCGGGTGCCACCGTTGGAGGGGTGACAGTCATTTTGGTGTCACCCCCCTCTGAAAAGTCGGGCGCTCGGTCATGGACCGAACGCCCAACAGTATCTGGAGAGAGGAGGGGACCCGGCGGCATACCTCATCCCGCCGGGTGACTGTCCCCTCCTCTCTCTGCCGGCGTCCGTCACCAAGATGGCCGCCGGCAGGTATGAGAAGACTGCCGCGCGTGCGCGATGACGTCTCGGCGGGGTGACACTCGGTTACCGCTCCGGTTGTCACCCAGCCTCGGGACGCCCCTGGCAAGTGGCTCCTAAATAAGCAAAAAGCAGCACTGCAGAATGAAGCCTCCCCGTTGTGGTGGATCAGGAGGGGAAAACCTAGGCAGGGGAACAATTGGTCCAGAGCATTGACCTGCCCCTGGGCGCGCCATGACCTTGCTACGCCTCTGCCCCAGACTACAAAATACTGACCCCGGACCACATCCCACCCCACAGTGTCTGAATACGGAACATTTGAATAATTTGCAGCAACCTGAACTCTGCTTGTCATAGACGGCGAAATTCCAGGGTGTCATTTACCAATGTGACCACCAGAGGGCAGCAACGTTCACTGTGCAACCTGCAGTGTTCATATGGAGGGGAAGAAGAACAGCCGGTGCAATTCCTGGACTGCACAGTACCACTTCTCTTGTCCTGTATGCCGGGTGTCATTCTCGGTATCTGTTCCTATTCTGTATGTATGGACCCTGCACAGTACCACTTCTCTTGTCCTGTATGCCGGGTGTCATTCTCAGTATCTGTTCCTATTCTGTATGTATGGACTCTGCACAGTACCACTTCCCTTGTCCTGTATGCCGGATCTCATTCTCGGTATCTGTTCTTACTCTGTATGTATGGACTCTGCACAGTACCACTTCCCTTGTCCTGCATGCCGGGTGTCATTCTCGGTATCTGTTCTTACTCTGTATGTATGGACTCTGCACAGTACCACTTCCCTTGTCCTGTATGCCGGGTGTCATTCTCGGTATCTGTTCCTATTCTGTATGTATGGACTCTGCACAGTACCACTTCCCCTGTCCTGTATGCCGGGT